GTCATGCATAGGTTAAATAAAGATGAGGATATTATCTAGAAGAGCTTTCTTAAAGTTTCAGTCTAAGTACTATCACTATATACGATCCTATCGAACTAACCATTTCCGAAGAGAGCATAACTTGAGACATTCCTCTTCTGATTTTGTCTTTGCTGCAAAAAGCCATTCCAATGACTATCAACAATGCAGATGGACATGTTAATCCTATGTTCTTGTCAAACTAAGCATTTTCCCAAGAGAGCAAAACGTCAAACGTTGCTCCCTTCTGACCTTGTCTTTGTTGCAGAAGCCATGTCTAACTTTGGCTCGCGATTGTCTCGTTCGAGAATTCCATCCCTAGTGTTGTTGTAAGCGCCATCATCATGTCATTGGATTAATTGTGGTCGAGACAGCTTGAAGACGAGGCAGTTTTTGGGTTCTTAGTTCGTGCCAAATCATGAAGGACTTAAATCCTCTTGGTACGCATCAGACATTCAAGAATATGTCTTGTTCTTTTGGAATTGGGTGATCGAGCTTGACGGATTTGCCTACCCCTTTAATTTAAAGATTGGAAGTTTATGGTTTAAACGGCGAATATTATTGTTGTTGTTGTTGTTATTGCTATTACTTTGAGAATTGGGTGACCGAGCTTGACGGGTTTGCCCATGCTTTTAATCAAAAGATTAGAACTTTATGATTTTAAGCACATCGGTTCGGCAGTCACGCCCATGCAGCTTTCAATTAAGCTCATGCAGTTTTGACTCCGCGGCCGTCAATTAAAATTTCCTCCCCGTGAAGTCCAATGCAAATATGTCCTCATGAAATGAATCATGAGCGGTTTGCATTGGAGGCATCTTTTAAAATTTGTTTGTTAGATGAACGGGATAATTTAATTCAATCGGGTCAGGCTAGTTCCCCTCCGGGTTTGAGCCTATTGGGCCTCTCAAACACTCTTAAAAGGGTAAGGTTTTTTAGTGGATCGGATCTAATCGGATCGGGCCCTTGTATTAGAATCTTTTTTGGTCAATGGCCATAATCGTAATCCATTATGTAAACTGGCCGCTCGGAAAACTCAAAACTGCCATGAAAAATTTAAATATTTATTAGGTCAATTATCTAGTTTTTCTTTTCTGTCAATTGGGTATTTGATTGTTTAGTAGTCTTTTTCATTCTCATGCTTGAGCATCGTACAACTTCATTGTTAAGATCTCAAGGGACAAGGTCCCCTTTTTTTTTTTATCTTTCCATCCTAGTGCATTTGACAACAATTCGAAAGGCTATCTTTTAGATTGTCGGCTTCTTCTGGCCAAGTGTCGGACATTCTACGGTCTGTTTAAAAAGAAGCAATGAACTACCTTTTTGTGCTAGTAGAATTTTGAAAGAGTTGGTAAGTGTAAAAGAGAAAAAAACTATTGCTATGAAAACTTGTCGATCACTTGATTTACCCGTAACTTATTGGTAAGTTACCAATATTTTAGAAACTCAATCTAACAAAAGTTGGTAAAAACTATTATTTAGATTGGTCATTTCATATAAGACTTAGTAAGTTCGAAGTGTTTGTGACTTATCCAAATAAAAATTGGTAAGTTACAAAATTGCTGATCTGAAAACTATAAAAAAAAATCGGTAATTTCGTAAAAGCCTTTAGTATGTTACAAACAAGTTTAAGTCACTGGTCATTTTTTTACTAACACCGTTTTGACACTTATCAACAGTCATTAAAATTTACCCAAACGAGAAAAATACGTATGTTTTAGCACGGAATGATAGAATTTTGCATATGTCACTGAACAATTTAGTAAATGCAGAACACTCTCAACCCTTTCCATTTTACTATTTTAGTAATGCTTTCGGTAGACATGATCTTTCCTTATTTATTCTTTCTTTCCATATAGTGATCGCCTTAATTAGGATATGGTTGTTATATAATGGACAAATTCAATTATTTCCTAATTATGGTCATCAAAAGTTCTAAACCAAATTGAGACAAAACGGAATGCGATTTACTTCTTTAGTTTGAACTCTTGACGAGGTTACACCCTATTGATCGTTTTGACTTTTCTAGAGTTGAGATATTTCAGATTTCCCGACCTATCAATTTCTGCATTGATAAAGTGAATCTTCTACAAAAATTCTAGAGATAATGTTGAATGTGATCTCCAAAATCAATCTTTTCAATTTAGTCCTTGAACTTTCAAAAATCTACTTCTACTTAATGTAGCCATTCTATTAGTAATTCTAACACCCTAGCTGACTTGACCATAATTTTTGTTAAGTTGAAGTTAGATTTGCCATCTACCGTCCACGTCCCTTGTGTTCATGGTCCAAAGGCTTTCAAGACATAATAAACGGAGGAACTATCCAAGATGACCGGGCAAGCCTTGAAGTTTCTAAGGACCTAGAGTATCTTGAGCACTCTAGAATATTCTTAAGGGTGATATGGGAAATGTACATTATTCTAGGGTACTCTTGTAATTAATGTGGAAAGTTGATAGATGAGAAGATAAAGTCTCCACCACCGTTATATTAAGGGGAGATGTACTTGTAATAAGAGGAGACCCCTATATATATTACTGCCCTCATTTGTATCATCCTACAAGTAATAGATATCCAAAACTTCTCTACGAGTTCCTCTCTCTATAACCCTTGAGTTTGGTGGGTAAGGCTTTAAGAGAACGCTAGATCAACCATGTGGCTTTCATTTGGTGCAAATTTTTTTTTTTTGGTTCACGTCATTCTTTTGCCCCAATAAATGAGACTGTACCATAAACTTCACAACCTTATGGAAATGCTAATGTAGCATTTACCTGTGGTGAGAATTAGTTTCACTTTCCGGAAACACTTGCCTTAGTTAGAAAAAGTCTTTTAAAACATTGATTCTTCATAGTATACCAAAGCAATACAATCTCCGGTTGAACTTATAGAATTGGTTAATAGACGGCAATCCATGTTCATTATTTCAAACCTTACTGATAATTTTTTAGATATCTTTACTTAAACTCCTTGGATCGAAAATGCATAAATTGATGAGTTGTTAATGAGAAAGCTAAAGTACAAAAAGGCGAAATGTGCAGGTTAATCAATCGGTTTGTTCAATGCAATTAATCGTTGCACTTATCATTCCACTATTCTAACTCGTTTAGACAAACTAAACCGGTTTTGGTACATCATTAACCGAATTGATTCAAATTATCTGGCTCCATTTGAAGAAACAATCACTCCGCTCAATGAACTCAAGAAACAATAGTATATATTAAGATTGTTATGAATGACCGATGGCCTTTTTTTTTTTTTTTGCTTCCTTTGTCTCCAAATACAACTAATTAAGGAAACGAATTTTGAAAACAATTCATAAAACAACGTAGCTTTCTCACGTTCGTACAACTTGGAAATAAGATCAAAACTGACTTTTTCGTGCTCATGTAAAAATAAGAGGTCAGAAATTCCCAATCTTCAACTCAAAGACATAAACATCAATCTTTCTACACGAACTATAAAGGACCATGAATTGTAGAAGAGGCTATCTGCTGCTGCTCAACACTGCTTTGTCCAGTGCATAAATTATTAACGATGGAATGACCTTCTAGCTGTGGTCGGAAACTCAGTTCTTGATTAGCATCAGAGTTAAGAAATGCGATTTGCGCTTTTACTTTAGCCAATTCGCTTTCGGCATTATGTATTTGTAAATGCAATAGAGAAATGATTCCGACACATCCATACACCGGGTCTTGAATCCGGCATCGTGACTCGAAGTATAACGAATCCGCAACTTGAGCTCGCATTTCAGTCGGAGTTTGCTGAGAATCACCAAACAAGAGTTATAAGTGCATCATTTGCAAGGAAACACGAACCAAATCAATTGATTTTAGGGTTAAGTTATATGTGTGCTCGTCAGGAAAATGAATTAGCAAGCAGGATCATTGAAAATGAGAGATTTATATACCTGGATCATTTTGCCAACATTGCTCGCACCATAGATTCTGTGAACACAAGCAAATCTTTGGGGGTCATTGGACGGGAAATAAGGGGAGAAAATGCAATCTGGAGGACATCTCCTTCTCAAATATTTGCAAGCTGCACATCGGGATGAAATGGTTGTTGACATCCCACACAAGAATCTAACCCAGAATTCTAATGGAGATTTTGAGTATCTTTGTCTTTTATGTCTGGACATTAATGTTTATATATAGGGCAAGCTGATATGGAATGTACAACGGCTATCTTTTTTTCAAAATCGAATTTTTGGAAGGAAAGTTTTTTACGGCGGAGCAAAGTTTCCCATTCGGAGAGAACATGGCCTAAAGTTTTTTTGGTCGACAACCATTTGCTATTGGCAAAGATTGAAGAATTTCCTTAGGCACCAGAACAAAAAAATTCAAAAAAAGACAATGAAATAGACAAGAAACAACATCCACAAGTGTCTGTATTTAGTTAACTACAAGTATAGAGTGACATTAATATAATGGTGTCTACCGACTCTATTGCCCTATAATTTAGTTTTCAAACTGATGAATTAATAATTACATAAAATTAACAAACATAAGTCAAGTGGATTTTTCTGATTCAATAAGCCTCACCCCTTCAACACCCATTGAAATTTACCAACACAAAATTAGAAAATAAAAATCCGTATATTTGCACACATACCAATAAAATTTTTGCTGACATACAGCAAAGCCATTGGAACAGCAAATAAATTAAGCAAGGAAATACAAATGACTTCTTCCTTTTCTTCTAAAGAAAAGAGTTTATTGGAGGTGTTATAGCATCAAAGTCCCAACACGAGACACGACCCAACAACAACATAGGTGGAGTTCACAAGCCACAATCCACAGTCCACACATGTAGCTAATTAGCTACATCAAAATAAATAAAAAAACACTGAAAATTAGTCTTATAGAAGTTCCAAGGCAGCATATACTCGATAATTACACCACAGATGCAAACCCTAACAATTGACTGAGAGCTATGTATGTGACAATATAAGTTGTTTCCCAGGTACTTGTCCTCCCAAGCACACTTCAGTAGCCATCGTCAAGCAAGGAGTCTACGAAAGCAGTCTCATCAAACACCTGCCAATCCCAAAGAAGATCTCCAGTGAGTTGTTAAACCAGAAAAGAATAGCTACATCATCCGCTAAGAGAAGAAAAGATGAAGTTTAGAAATGGAAAAGGACTTGCCATATCACTGGATATGTGATTCTCTTGTGTGTTTTGCATCGGCGGAATCGCGGCGGGTGCTTCTGTGTTGAGGATTTCTTGCTCCTTTCATCACCACATCAAATTAGATATTGTCATGATATTTTAAATGCAATTTATATGGTTTCCATTACAGTTAACGGATTATATTTTCATCCAGCATCACTTTCTCAAGGACACATATCTATCTTTTCTTTATACGAAAGAAAGATTGCTCCATTATAAAAGTTGCTTTCATCACTAAAAAACAGGTAGCAAAATCTAGGGCTTCGAGATTTCAGACTAATTCGAAGCAAGTTTTAAATCAATGAGACCAAAACAAATAGTAAATTTATGTTGAAACCAAGACAATGATCAAAGGCAGAGATTATATTGATGGCCAAACTCACTGGCACAGGGTTCTCGTCCAATAGAGAACAAGGATCATCGAACAGGAACGACTCAACCCCGCCGAGGAAGTCGAAGTCCACGAATTCTTCAAAGCCATGATCCTGTCCGCAACAGTACCCAGTATATATGAAGGAATTGAAGTTAAGCTAATGATATTAATACACTGAGAAACAAGGAAAAGCTGGCGACGGAAAAAAGATTAGTCATAAAATAAATTCTGCGTCTAGTATGGGAAAAATATTTAGACATGCCTGGACATTGACATTATTCCAAGTAGCATTTTCCCCGACATGATTTGGTTCGAGAACATCCGGATTCTGGTTCTCGATTGTGAGGGCCTTGTCACTGGGTTGATATGAGACATTGGTGATGTCTGGAAGCATCAGCTTCTCCCCATCTTGGGGCTAATCAAGGCGATCAAATATAATTTAACAAATACAGAAGTTAAATAAATCATTTTGACCACTAATAAAATACAAGTTAGGAGAGATTATGTAATAAAGATTAAATAGGAAGAAGAAAGAACTTTCATACCTTATGAGGAGGTTGATCGTTGATGTGCCCCGGCAAAGCATCAGTGAGAGTACCTTCACCCAACAGTTGCCCACTGGAATTGCCGAAAGGTGCCGAACTATTTTTCATCACGTCACACGTGTAGCGATTTTCGTTTTCTTTCGACAGATCATTTGATAATAACAATCTTTCCATTTGGTGGCCACCCAGTAAGGCTGGCATAAAGCCGGTTCCCTCAGAACTATATGCACTGCTGAGTTTGTTCGGATTGGCAGGGTCACAGAATTTGGCGTCACCTACTTGGACTAGCTCACTCCTACTAACCGTTTGAAGACCGACATAACCACCGGTTTTATATGAATTCACATTTGGAAAAGAGTTGATTGTATCACCGGAGCCACCAATATATGCGTGATTGGCAGTTTTGGTACCATTCTCTACGGTTGTGTGCTTCTGAATTCCATCATGGAATTGTTCAGGTATAGTTTGATCTTGTTGAGTCAGCTGCTTTGAAGTTCCATACGTGCCACTAATGGCATCACTTGGCAAGAGTGAGCTGGTTCCAATGCTGTTCAGTTGATTTGTCCAAAGAGCCGGGCTATTTGGCTGAGAGAGAGGATAGTTGTTTCCTAGAATTGGATACTTAGAAGAGCTAGCTTGATCAGTCACTGAAGGTGATTTGTCAATACCAAGTTTAGATAGAGAGTTGCTCCTCCGAGCTCTATCGCTAGTGAATGGAACAATGCCATAGCTCCTATAGTTCATATTTGTCAAACTGCCTCCCAATAGTCCAGATTGGAATGTTGGCGTCCATGGATGTCGTCCCAAAATATTATGACGATATTCTCGGCTACTACTTCCAAAAGATGCAGATGCAAAGCTAGACCTTAGCACTCTCTCGCTGTTATACTTGAGACCCTTTTCAGCAACCTTCCTGAGGAAGAGTCGATACTTCTGCGAATTCGACCACAATATGTAAGTGGAAAAACAAATCTTAAATTTCCAGTACATTGAGGTAGTCAGATTTTTGGGGGCAAATAACTAGGGATTTCTTGCTTAGATACAAAAAGAATTCAATTGTTTTTGTATTGTCAGTACTAGAATAACAATGTGAAGTATGTAAGGGAATCAATATTCGCCTTCGAAAAACAGTTCATATTTTTTTTGTATGATAAAAATCGTGTTTTGCATTGTAGGATTAATAAAATCCATCAGCTTCGCTAATTGTGGGTTACTCGATGAAACTCGTTCCAATAGTCACAAAATATACATTTTTCCTATGTATGCACAATCCTTCAAGCGTTTAATTATCATTAATACCCAATGCAAATACGACTACGCTTTACAACTATCCACAAGTAGTTTTCTTTCGTAAATGCACTGATTTAGACAAAGAAAAGGTGAAACGATGCGAATCAAGTGACTTAAACTGATGAAATGATTTCTGTTTCTGCTGTTATAATATAAATGCAAACTGATGTACTATATATGCTTGAGGAATATCTATAAAGCGAACCTGTAAATGGCTGGCCACATTCGCTCTAGTTATTCCTGGGACATTCATGACATCGAGAATTCTCCTCGGCACAGCATCTAATTTGATTCAAATCAAAGACAAAACAATGTTAGTAGAGAAATCAACATATAAACTAATCTGGTTCATGAACCTAGTTTATTAGCAATCATATGAGAGAGAGAGAGAGAGAGAGAGAGAGAGAGAGAGAGAGAGAGAGAGAGAGAGAGAGAGAGAGAGAGGAAATCTCAATCATGTAGGACAAAGATTCTTACTCTCGAATCCGATGATGTTTATGGCTTGCAAGAACCGATTCTGAAGTGCGGTCGTCCAAACAACTTTTGGTTTTCTAGTTTTTTGGTTATCGTTCTCGTTCTTTTCTTGTGACTCAGCATCGGAATCCTCATTATTATTACTATTGATACCCTTCATCTTGTTCATAGATGATAAAGAATTCCTGTTTACACGAGGCGTAATATCTTTATGATGACCCCATATTGGCTTGACTGGTACACATATAGTCTCCTCTTCAATGACAAGTGATTTGCCTTTCCTGCCCGCAACTGCATATTGCCATATATTCTTGAGATGTTCAGGTCTTACGGGTTTTGAAATGTAGAATGCAGCACCACGCTCTAAACTCTCCAACATGATGCACTCTCTTTCTTCTCCTGACATCACTGTCGCAAAAAACGTAAAAAAAAGTGGCAAAACCCTTAAGTGAGTTAAACTAGAAAGTGATCCCGTAACAAATTAATGGTGCAGTTATAACCAAAAAGAGAGAAAAAGAAAAGAAAAACTTGTGAAGTTTAGAGGACACCCACTAATCACAGGTAGCTTGAATTCTTCTTGGACTTGCTCTTGCAATTCAAGTCCATTCATGTCTGGCATGTGATAATCTGTCATCACAAGGTCGAATGAAGCTTGACTTTTGCGAAGTGCAGCCAATGCATCATTCGGGTGTTTCACGGTTACCACTGAAATGTAAAATCGACAAAATCTTGTTAGACTAAGATTCTTTCAAAATAGACTGTTTTTGGTCCTTGAGAAAACCATGGCAGTCAGTAGATCATAGGATTTGAAAACGAGAGAGATGTGGAAAACCCATTAGGGAGACTACAAAGTTTCAAGTGTTTGTGCATTCATCCATCCATTTAATGGCACCCAAAAAAGTCATACATCATTTAGATGTCCAGTTACCTATTAAAAACATACCATAAATTATGATCAATTTTGTTTTTAAAATCTAACGTTAGCGCGCCATTTTGACCCAGTAAATTTTTTTCTCAACGGTTGCGGGAAATGTTTTTAGCGTTAGCGCGCCATTTTTTTCTCATTGAAAGTGAGCATATGCCTGCTAAGGTTTTATACACCAATCCATCTATTAGATCTGATCAAAGGCACACCATCTATACCAGAACTACTAGATCCTTAAGATTTATCAATCTATTGTTGTCCTTTTTCTTTTGGCTAGGATGAGATTGTAGATGTAAAAGCTTCCCACACGAAACTAAAATCAAGTCCTCAACTCTGATAGAAAAACAAGGAAAACAAAGCTTTTGATATCACGACTTGAGCAGGACATATGATTTAGGACATTCCTTGTCATCAATTAACAACACATCAGTCAGATCTGAGTATTGGAATTGCAAAACATTCACGAAATTAAACAGCCAGGCAAACATCAGAAAAATGACCACCAGAAATACGTTTTCCCCCTAATATACAGGAGCAGGTAAAAAGAAGAAGAAATGGAACATGAACTTTTAAAAATATATAACTAAACTTAAAGATCGGCTTCTTCTTGATGAAGAAAGGACGATTTAAAGTTTAGAATCATGCATGTTCAACAAAAAGAACTGAAGAAAACGTCCAAGGCAGATGATCAATTTTTTGGACCATTAGGCCAAGAAGTATTTGGAAGATGCAATAGATTTTGATTCCTTCTTGACCCGATGTGAAAATTTCACAAAATCCTGTGTCATCAACCAAAGAGAAGAATTTTATATTTAACCCTAGATCGTTTACCTTCATACTCCCATGTCCTTAGGATGGCGGCAACAATGGTGAGACATGTAGAATCATCGTCTACTACTAATACACCGATCTTTGCAGAAGAACGTTTGACGCTAAGAGAATGCCTCTGCCCCGTTCCCTCGATAGGCTCCATGTGTAAGTCACTATACCTTCTGATACGCCAAACAACCGAGCTAAATTTGAATTTATAGGCAAACTGACTCAATCACAAGTACGTAGAATGTGAAACACTCGTCAAATGAACTGCTATATAATATCTGTGTGTTTGTGGGTGTGTTTGGTGTGAGAGAGAGAACCCATACAAACTTCCTAGTTTTATGTTCTCTCTATGCGTCAAACAACAAATTAAATGCAATGTACTGATAGTCTTAATTGGAAGGCATGCTCGGATTTCACGAGACAATTCTCTGGACTTGTTATATTGGAAAAAAATCTAGACACGAATTAGCTGATATTTATTGCAGCATGCTGAAAATACAAAATTTTTACCGCCATGTTCTTTCCATATCAGATTAGATAATGTTTTCCCTTCTTATCTCTTCCCATCGCACCGGTTGATATTGGATTACACGGTTTCGTCGTCGAATTATCTCACAAATGAAATCTTGTTTCCTACTATAGCAATTAGGGTTATGAACTTTCTTCTTAGAGTAAATCCTTTCCGAGGTAGTTGCCCCCGTACATGGCACCTTCTTACCGTCCTTTCTTCACCCCTGAACCATGGTCTTGATTTATTTCCCCACAATGAGATTGCCTATCTCGGCAAAATTACTCGGAAACCACAACCCCTAGTGTTATGTTTGGCTGCTTGTAATTGCTTGCATTTTACCATGGGCAGACGACGATGTTGTGCTATGGTTCTTATTTGACCGTGGTTTTGCCGCACATTATGTCATTAAGTCATTCGAATACGTTTCTTACTTCTAGCACCAAGAAGAACGTGAAGGTTGCTAGCTAGAAACGCCAAATAAAATTGGAAACAAAATATATTTGATGCTTGAATTTTTTATACTACGCTCAGTGATAAGAACCATTTCAAACTAAGTTGTGAAAATGGTAATCCCTTAATACTACCGAGGCTAAGAACAACCGTCATAGTTATTCCATCTTACTACTTTTAGTTACTCATCTATCTTGACAAACACTTTTTCGGAGTCATAAACGGTCTAGATGATTGCAACATCTATGCAAAAGACGGCGCGGGAAATCAAGACCAACGGTCGATCTTCAATCATTTGACAAAAGGTCAGTCACAGCCGACACGAGCTCATTAATGCATCGGTTAGAGCGAATCCAGTGCGGAATTGTACGTAACGAGGCAAACGACACGACGCTTCGAGATTGATTGCTCGAAATAACTACTCCAACAAATAATTAGGCTTGTGGATGGAAACATACTTGTTTGAGAAAACGACGCGATGTTTCGGCATCAATCGATCCCGATAACTATATCAACTAATAAATAGGCTTATAAATGGGAACATACCCTGTTTGTTTTATACGTCGTATTTCTTTCATCCGTTCCCATTTCGCTCCTAACTTTCTTAGTACTATTCTCTATCTTGGTATACCTTAAATAATCACGGTCTTCCCGAATAACGATGAAACTCAGAACGTCAACCGTGCTTTACTCGTGACATGAGTCAACATGCAAAGTAAAAAATATTTTTAATCTAATTTGAAGTGATGGATCGTGTACAATCTCATTTTTTGACTTCTTTAATGATTCACAAATCTGTTTAATGTACAGACAAGATTCTTCTGATGATGTGACGTCTTCATTTTAAAGTGTACATGTATTTTTCGGATTTCTGAAGCAGCATATAGTAGGTGACTAGTGAAATAGGCTAAGATGGAGTAAAATCCCCAATTTGAAATTTGTAGAAGAATTTATTGGATCCCTTGGTAGTTCTTTTATCGTCAACTCTTTGTCGAGAAAATTATCCAAAAAGTCCTAAACATATTGCACTTTTGTCAATCAGTCATAAACCTTTCAAGTTTGCCAATTGAGTCCTAAACATTTTTACTTCTTATCAATTAAGTCAATCTGGCCAATTTTGGCAGCCCAAAGCTGATGTGGACGCTGGCCGTCCGGCCAACGCTGATGTGGCAATTTTTAATATTTTTTTGGATTTTTTATTTTTTTATTTTTTTCCTTTATTATTTTTTTTGGCCTTCTTCCCTCTGGCGAAGCTTGCCCCCACCGTCCATTGGTGAGGGTGACCCTTGCCGGCCCCTGGCTGGGCGAGGTCAAACCTCGCTCGACCTCGCCGTCCCGACCTAGGGGACGAGCCTCGCCTAGGGTGAGGCTCACCTCTCGCTGTCGCGACCCAAGCAAGGGAGACCCAGGCGACGGTAAGGTGGACCTCGCCTTGGCTGGGCGAGGCCGACCTCGCCATCTCCTGGGTCGTGACGGCGAGGCCGGCCTCGCCTTTGCTGGGCGATGTTCGACCTTGCCCAACTAGGGGGAGAGGGCGAGCTTCGCCAAAGGCCGGCGAGGTCGACTTCACTGGCCCTCACCTCTGGCTGGTCGCTGGACCGACTAGAGGGAAGAAGTCCAAAAAAAAAGGGAAAAAATAAAAATATATCAAAAATTCAAAAAAAAAAAAACATTAAAAATTGCCACGTCAATAGTGGCCGGACAGCCAGCGTCCACGCCAGCTTCGAGCGGCCAAAATTGGTCGGATGGACTCAATTGGCAAGAAGTGAAAAGGTTAAGGATTCAATTGGCAAACTTGAAAGGTTTAGGACTGAATTGGCAAAAGTGCAATAGATTTAAGATTTTTTGCACAATTTTCCCACTCCTTGTCCATGTTGGAAATTGCTCGAAAAAGTGTCATGTCCATGAATAGACTCTGATAATCCACCCCAACTTTTGTTTTAAAGTAAGGTACTAACAGACTTTCTCTAGATAAGTTGTTGAAAAAGTCCTAAGCCTATTGTACGGCTTGCAATTCAGTCATAAACCTTTCAATTGTGTCAATTCAGTCCTAAATCTTTTGACAATTAGCCAATTTAGTATAAATTTTTTAATTGTGTTGATTTAGTCCTAATCCTTTTGAAGATTTCCCAATTTAGTTTTAAACATTTTGACGATTTGCCAATTTTGGCTGGAGATTGCTGACATGGACATTGGCCATCCTACATGACTTGACCGGCGCTAACTTGGACAATTTTACATTTTTTTAAATTTTTTTCCTTTTTTTTTCTTCCCCCTCCTCTCTTTTGGTCTACGGCCATTGTCGGCGACCAACCACAGGCTAGGGCTCAACCCTCATAGCCTGGATGAGGGCGGCCCTCGCTTGATCTAGCGAGCGAGGGTTGAGCTCTCGTAGGCCATGGCCGAATACCGGCCACAGGACAAGGGAAAAGAAAAAGAAAAAAAAAATTTAGCAATGCAAAATTTGTCCATGTAGCACTGGCCATGCATCGTAAGATGGCTGACGGCCGATGGCCGGCTGACATTCACATTAGCAATTTTAGGCCAGAATTGGCCAAAATGACTAAATTTAAAAATTGTTAAAAGATTTAGAACTAAATTGACATAATTAAAAGGCTTAGAACTAAATTGGCAAATCGTCAAAAGGTCCAAGACTAAATTAGCATGGTAGAAAAAATTTAGGACTAGATTGAACGATATACAATAGGTTTAGGATTTTTTAGACAATTATCCCAATCTTCTTTTATAGATTTGTCCTTCAATTAACCTGGAGGAAACCATTCTCTCTCTTTGGCTTTTAATGGGAGCAATTATATCTCCACAACGATAATAATTTCTTCAATAACAATTTAAATATGCCTATTGAATGGACGTCAATTCAGTCCTCAACATTTTCATTTGCCAATTTTATTATAAACCTTTGTACGAGTTCCAATGTAGTCCTTCTAGTTCATTTTCGCTAGAAATTGTTGACGTGGCCATGTGCTACATAGGATTGCCGGCAATGACTGCACCGCCACGTCGGAAATTTAAGCGAAATTAACCAAAAGGGCTATATCAAAATTTCGCGCAAAGGTTTAGGACTAAATTGACAAAATTAAAAAGTTTAACGTATAATAGGTCTAAGATTGATTGGGTAATTTTCCTATTGCCAACTAATATAGACTCTTTGTCAATGTTGGAAATTGTTCGAGAGAGTGTCAATGTGCATGAATAGATTGTAATAATCCACCACAACTTTTGTTTAGAAGTAAGGTGATAATAGATTTTCTTTTACAGATTTGTCCTTCTATTGGCCCGGGGGGAATCATTCTTTCTCCCTTTGACTCTAGCGGCGCGATGATATCTCCACAATCATAATAATTTCTTTGAAAACAATTAACGAAACTTGACATGAAATTAAAATGTCAAAACGATTGGGAATAAGCTACAATAATTATCAAAGTATCATTACAAAAACCTGAATACTTAATGACTAATATAGTAAATGTTACCATTGTTACATTAATAGAAAAGGTTAAGAGGAAGTAAATGCCAGATTCTATCATTTATATCCTTAATCACTTACTCCTTTTTCTCCTCTTCAATGTCTACATTGAACATTTTCATATAGTTCAGAGACGACATTGAATAAATTAAAGGGATGAGTGCACTACAAGTCCTAAAACTTGTCACAAAAGTGCATTTGAGTCCTAAAACTTACAAAAAGTGTAATTGAGTCCTAAAACTTGTCAAATTGATCCAATCGAGTCCTAAACTTAACACCGTTAAATTTACTAATGGAAAACGCTGACGTGGTGCTGATGTGTCATATTTTAATTCTTTTATTGAGACACGTGGCGTCCAACAAGCGTCACGTCAGAAAAAGTTAAAAAAATGTAAATTAAATTAGAAAAAGCTATAAAAAAACAAAAAAAAAAAGGAAAAAAAAACCCTAAACCAGCAGCTGCGGCGGTGGCCAATCCCTCGCCGGTAGCCGCCTCCACAGCCGCCGGGAAGGACTGGCGGAGGTCGCCTGGGCCTTCTCGAAGCCCGGCGACCCTCGCCGGCCCCGGGCGAGTCCTCGGCGAGGGCCTGCAGCCCCCGATCTGGGGGAGGGCGCGACCCTCACCCCAGATCTGAGCTAGGGTCGCCGGCCCTCGCCTGGGGCCGGCGCGGACCGGCGAGGGCTCGCCCAAGGTGGGCGACCCCAGGCGAGGCCTCGCCGGCCCTCGGCGGCCCCCGGCAACCCTCGCTCAGATCTGAGGCGAGGGTCGCGCCCTCCCCCAGATCGGGGGCTTCATGCCGTCGCGCGGGGACCGGTGGTGCCTCGCCCGAGGCCGGCGAGGGTCGCCGGGCTTCAGGAAGGCCCAGGCAACCTCCGCCGACCCTTCCCGGCGGCTGTGGCGACGGCCACCCGCGAGGGCTTGGCCACCGCCGCAGCTGCCGGTTGGGGTCTCTTTTTTTTTTTATAGCTTTTTTCTAATTTAATTTTTATTTTTGCTGACGTGGCGCTTATTGGACGTCACATCATTGCCACGTGTCCCAATAAAAGTAATAAAATATGACACGTCAGCGCCACGTCAGCGTTTTCCGTTAGTAAATTTAACGGTGTTAAGTTTAGGACTCGATTGAATCAATTTGACAAATTTTAGGACTTGTAGTGCACTTATCCCTAAATTAAAAGTTGATGGATCAAATTGCACATTGGGCCAAAGTTTAGGGACTACATTGGACAAATTAAAAGTTCATGGACCACATTACATATTGAGCTAAAGTATAGAGACTGTTTGTGTCATTTTGCCTATTGCACAGTACACATTCGCAAGAAAGGGTTAACACGTGTAGGATTAAGGCATTAATCAACCTTTCTTCATCAAAATTAGGGTTTTTGTTCAGCGAAATCATAAAGAGGAGAAGCAGTTCCTTCACAGATAGAGCTGACTTTGTGTCAAAAGCAAACTTTTCGATGCAGTCACAGGCTCTTCTCTTGCATGGCTTGCTTGCTTCAATTTCGCGGTCGCCCCTCTTTTGGATCTGTCCAAAGCATTAACTATGTAGCTCGAAACGGAAAACTCTAGACCCCACGCGACCTTTCTTATTAACTCCTCAGTTGTCCCTATGCTATAGAGTTGGCGAGTTGCTTTAATAACATGTCCCGTAGACGCAGTTTCTTTCGGCTGCAGACACGAGACGCCCAAAAGTGTACGAGAACCCACGTGCGGTGCGCACGTCGCATGCGTTTCGTAAATGAATTTGAGTAGTTTCTTCTTTTTTTTCTTCCTGGAGTAGGTAAATTTCCGTTTTTGACGGTATTGCGATTCCACCCTTTGGAAAAGCCTTTTAGAGGAGAAAAACTAATATAATTGGAGAGTTTAAATGAGACATTTTATTAATGACTCGATGAAGTTTTGATAACTTTCTTTGCATTTAATTTTTTTTGAGAAGAAACGTCTACTTCATGTTGGTTTGCACTCGGCAAATATTTTGTGGGGAGAGAGTGCAGATAGAAGAGGAGATCTGTTCAAAAACTTTTCAAAAATGAGTTATTTGAAAAATATTTTTTGAAAAATAATCGCTTGTATTGCTTACAAAAATAAATTAATGGAAAAAAAATTTTCATCACCCATGAAAATAGTTAGGTATAGATTGTTATCAATGAGGAAATCATTTTCCGTTGACTAATTTTGATAAACAATATAAGCAATCATTAATTATTTAAACAAGCTCAATTTTTCGGGAAGCTACTGTTCATGTACTGTTTGGCACTGTAGCAAGAAGAAAAATCACTTCAGTTGCCTCAATCATTGCGAAAGCCCCAAAAGACGGTCGGTCCTGTTTCACATGCCATGGGTTTTTATTCTTATTCGTCCAAATAGAGACATGAGCAAAACTTAATGTGACGTAAGAGTAACTACCTACAAACCTCAGCCAATTCAAATCACTTATTTTTCCCGAAACGAATGCACCGTAAGTGCTTTCTCTTTTCGGCTTTTTTTAGTCTGAATCAAAGGAGGGAAACTTCTCAAATTTTGGACTGAGGTCCAACCAACCCAAAAAAAGATTGTTTAGTATTTTTGCCCTTTTTGTTTGGGATAGAATAGTGAAGATAGTATTGCAAAACTAGAAATGTTATTGATTTATGTACATAAAATATTGAGAGAGTACTTTGTTGGAAGAGTTATATTATGGTTTAGATGGAATTTTAGTATTTCGGGGAAAGAATTCAAATTAAGACAAGTCAAAGGAAAAGTCTTCTTTTTCATTTTTCAAACTAAGATCCACTTTAAGTAAATAAAACAACAAAACTACTTGCGTAACTCCATCTAGCCGATATTACCACGATATGCACATATAGACATGTGAGAAGAAAATTGCTCTTCCACAAAATGTTTAATTTTCGCATGGCAAATAGTTCGTTGGACTCAAGTCCAGGAAGATTGGTGGGGAAAATTGACCGAAAATTATTGACGTGGACGCCGGTAGTGCCATGTAGGACGGCCAACACTGATGTGGACATTTTTCTCCTAGGCCAAGGCGACATCCGGCGAGGGTTGGCCTCGCCAGCCACCGCCCAAAAAGAAAAGGAAAAAAAAAAGAAAGAAAATTTAAAAAATCATAAAGAATTATAATAAAATTATTTTAAAATGTTCAACGTCAACGTTGACCATTCTATGTGGCATTATCGTCATCCACATCAACGATTTTTGGTCAAAATTGGCCGGATGAACTCAATTGGTAAAATGTAAAAATGTTTAGAGCTCAATTGGTAAAATCGAAATGTTTAGAACTGAATTGGTAGAAGTGTAATAGATTTAGGATTTTTTGGACAACTTTTCCGATTGGACAAGAACAAAAACTAGGAAATTAGGCGGGTCTCGTGGGCGGCCAACCGACCGAACGGGTTTTAAATTTCATACAACGGGATTTCGCTTTTCTCACGCCGTCATTTCCAAGCCCACGACATCACGGTCGTACTCAGCTCATCAGCCGTCGCGTACGGTGGGGTCCTGCTCGACTCGCCTCGTTAGCCGATCCCGGGCTCACGCGGATCGGGCGCGATCCGGAGCGTCGCTTCCATTCCAGCACGTGGGAAGCAGCAGGTCGTGGCCAGTTGGAGGGACGGTTGGCATCGGGGCGGATTTCTTAACAAGGAAGAGAGATGGAGAGCGACAGAAACTGGAGAGGTGAGGACTGCGACCCGAGGACTGACTGATGGGGACGTCTTGGGATCCAATTCAAGTTTGGGACACTTTCAAAAGCTTGACCCAGTCCAGAAAGATCACAGCTCAGCTCTTGCACGGATGGGTTTTTATAGCTTTAGCGTGCGCTTAATACGTGTGCGCTCTTCCATTCCATTCGCCTCTCCTTCCCATCACGTTCCTCCTCCCCCCCCCCTCACCAGTTCAAACCCCCCAAAGAACGTCAACATTTTCGCAGAAAAATAGGTTGTCGCTCGCCACGCATGTTGAGGGGCCCCCGCCCGCGAATTCCCCACGCACTCCACTCAGCAGTCCCAAAACATATATATCCATTCCTTAAGCATGTTGGTATGCACCGTTCTTTGGCCTGCATATATGGCCAATCAGTCTCCCAGTGAGTCCCAACCAAACCCATCACCGCCACCAGCCCCGGCCCCGGCCGCGGCCCCGGTAATCCAAATCCCTGACCAACCGCCGCATAATTCGCCGTATCCTTCTTCTTCTTCTTCTTCGGCCACCGGTGGTCCAGGCGGTTCCTCGCCTAGACCCATGCTTTCTCCGAGGGGGGCGTCGCCGGGTCAATCCACGGGGAGGCACCCGTGTTACCGTGGAGTCCGGTCTCGCAGCGGGAAATGGGTCTCCGAGATCCGCGAGCCCCGCAAGACCACCCGCATTTGGCTCGGAACGTATCCGAATCCCGAGATGGCGGCCGCCGCCTATGATGTGGCTGCGCTCGCTCTGAAGGGCTCTGACGCTGCGCTGAATTTCCCGGACGAAGTTCCCAGATACCCGGTCCCGAGTTCCGCATCGGCAGCCGATATACGCTCGGCAGCAGCTACTGCGGCAGCATCTAGGGGACCGAGAAGGGAAGCCGAGGGGAAGGAGGATCCGGTTAGTCGGCCCGAGATTGCCGACGAGACTGGCGAAGAGACGGGTCAGGAGTTTATGGATGAAGACGCGCTTCTGAACATGCCCAAACTGCTAGACGACATGGCGGAAGGAATGCTCGTGAGCCCACCGAGGATGAAGATGGGCTCAGAGAACGACTCGCCAGAGGATTCAGATGGTGGAGAGAGCCTGTGGAGTTATCCCTAATTTTAAAAGGTGAGATGATCAGGGCTTGATCAATTAGAATAGTCCTCATTGTAGACTTATACGAATTTGATATCCATTGTCTATGATCGTCATGATTGATCGTATCCCAGTGATTTCATTAGGAATAGATATACTTGGAGTGTGGTTTTTTGAGTTTTTTTGGCCCCATAGAATGTAGCTTCCGGGTGGGTGTGAGAGTCTCTGGTGAGGGTTTTGCTCGCAGCTTTTATGTTTGGGGTTGTTTTCGATTGTACGTAGCTGTATATGGTATGTATACACACTGTCTCTTTATATCATAGATTGGTTGAACAACATATCTCTGGAGCAATTTATGACGCGGCATAACGAATCAATTGAAATTGCAAGTGTTTTCGAAGAAAAAGCAAGCAACGCGTTCCTTTTGTCATAATACAAAGACATATTATACCATAAGGCAATTCATGAACGTTTATATGGATCTGCAATGAAATGAAGATGTTTTTTTTTTTGGTTTGTCATACTATAACTCTCAACTCACTCTCAGACTTTTGTCCTGTCTCTTGCAGAGCATGGGAGTCAAAATCCACATCTGAAACTATACGTCCCTACCCTAACCTCTCCTGAGAAGGTGGGGATTCGAACTTCCCACCTCTCCCTTCCCAAGTACGGTATCCCGGGCACCATAGACGGCCCCTCCTGGCTCTTGGTGCTTGTGAAGAGGCTTCCTCATTCAATCCAAAATAGTATTAAGATGTTCTGCATGTGCAGGGATTTTATGACAGTGATCTAATGGCCTCTCAGGTGGGCCTTGCATTTCAAAATTTAGACTCACAATTCATGGCTAAAAATGCAGGAATATATGTGTCTATGCATGATTCAAAATATGTGGTTGGATGAGATACATGTTAAGCTGAATGTTAGCTCTTCGAACTGAACTCCAGTGACTAATGAAATGATACCATTGCAAGCATACGATTGATCAAAATACATTGATGAATTACATTCATTCTGTAAGCTTATATTGCTCAATATTGCATCCTTTCGTCACCCGCAACTAATTTTGTAAAGCAGAATCTCCGTCTATCACGCAAGAGTAATACAGTAGCATCGACCTTATTGCACCAAAGCTTTAACCCTATTATTAGACTAACCAAACCAACGAAATTCATGGGAAGTTACCTGGAGGATAGAGTAGTAGATATGTTGTCTGTTCTCTCCGTGAAGAGTCGACCATTGCAAACTATGTTAGGACAAGGGCGATGAATCATTCGCACATAGCTATGATTATATAAGACGAACGATCAGATCCATGATTGCAAGACATGTGGAGTATGGGGATCCATTTGATTATAGAATTCCGATATTGGGAAAAGACTATCGAACTTTTCCTGCCAAAGATACGATCAGATTCTCCTTTGGGGTTCAAAAGCCGACTAGAAAAAAGTGCAGCTATCCTTGTTTTTGATCGCAAATGATTCGGTCTTTTTTCTTTTAGTCGAAAGTATGACGTCATTGTTGACGTCCGTCCACCTAGAGCAATGTGATTATCTAATGCCAAGCTGTTCACACCCAAAAATGACAAACTTTTTTTTGTTATTATTATCGATAAGTATCTGATAGAGTTTAGTCAACAATGAACAAAATCATCGCCAATTTGAAGGGAATTGACAACTTGCTGAGGAAGTCATCGACAACATTAGTTATCGACGAGAGCCTTCATCAAGACTTGAGAAGTTGATCGACAAAGTCATCAACAGCGGGCAATTGAGACGAAAACATAACTGCTGGGTAGTTATGTTTCGTTACAGCTAATTTACGACTTTTTAACTTCTTGTGGATATTTGTTCTAGATAATAGTAGTTAATGGATAACACAATTTCTTATAACCGCCATTACAAAGTTATTTGTTATTTAAGTATTAAAATTGTGACCGCTGTATGTAATCATCCATTGTGAGCTATCACTCTTTGTAAAGCGATCAATCAATCAAAGAACTCAACTTTCTCGCAAGTTTATTTTTATCTTTACTTTTCTGCAATTTAACTATCTTTCAATTCTCATACTTTAGTTGTAGTTTTCAGATCTTCGTCATCAATTAAATTCCGGCGTTGTATTTTGTCACACACTTTGTCGTCGATAAAATTCCGGCAAAACTTTTTATGTCATTAGAATTCATCGTTGATTAAATTCCGTTGAAGCATATTTGCTCCTTATGTTCCATTGATACAACCCCTGTCTAGAATCACCATAGAACATGTGTCCTCTTCGAAGAACGAATTTCGGTGAAAAAATTTTAGTCGATGATACAAATTCGGCAAAACATCTTTTTTACACGTTCAATGGGACAACTTGTGGTTTAATTTGAGGAAATTCAATGCTAAGAACAAGGAATCATCCAAAGCCTGACAATGTCGCGGGTAACAAACCCAACGGCAGTGACAAAGATATGAACTTTGAATCTTTTGCCGTTAACCAAGCTGCAGAAGAAGGCCAAGGCAAGAGGGGAGACCGTCCCGACGTCACACTGTAAAACAACGAAGAGAAGTTGCACCAAATTCTCATATGTTGGCCACCATGAAGAGATTGTTCGAGGAGCAGCGGAATGATATAGCAAATTACCTTGTAGTCACATGTCAGACGTGATCAAGCCGATCGCCATCAATGTCATTAATAATGTTTTTTCAAGGCCAGTATCATCCAATCAACCATTGTTATCCAATCCAATGGTAACAAGATACGTTCCTAGTCCCTCTTCATTTATATAATGTTGGTCAGAGTAGTCAACCCCCTATAAGAATTATACAACGGCCTGAATCTTATAATCGAGGCCATAATGATGAGAATAATCAAGCTCATGTTGGTCAATATAACCAAATTGGTGACAATAATTTGACAAATCTAATTAGCCAACAGTCTGGTCAATTGCCAAATGTTGAAGATATAAGGTCAGTTCCCCTCAATATGAATAATCCTATTAGGCTTAACATGCCTATCACAAGGCAAAATGACCAACTAAATCCACAATTGAACCTAGCACAATGTGTTGAAGAAGTTCAACAATGATTAGGGTTAGACATAGGTATTATCATACATTTTTGCAGGAAGCCACATTCTGAATGAGTTGATAATCAACAATTTCCTAGAGGCTTTGAAATCTCTGAAATTATCATTTTTACTAGCAAAGATGAACCATCGACTGTTGAGCACATTGGTCGATTTATAGACCAATGTAGAGAAGTAGGGACAAATGATTTTTTAAGACTTAAGTTATTTCCTTTGCCTTTGTCAAAAACTGCTTTTACTCGGTACACTGATTTACCATCTAATTAGATGTGTAATTGGGCTGAGATGGAGAGACAATTCCATTCTCAATTTTATCAAACGAAACACGAGGTATCAATTGCTGATTTGGCCACACTCTATCAATATAATAACGAGTCGATCGATCAATTTGGGACCTCGATTCAAAAATGCTAGAAATAGATGTCTTACTTCACTCTAATAGAAAGAATTCGCAAACTTGGCTTTTAATGGATTAAAATTCAATGTAAGAGAAAAATTCGAATGCCAAAACTTTGCTAATTTATTTCGGTTGGCAATGCAAGTGTCTAGGTATGAGCAACTACTTAAAGACGGAGATAGAAGGCCATATGAAAACTTTACACAAAATGTGGCTTTCTTGGAAAAACGTGTTAGATGATTAATTTGACCAAGACAAACTTTGGCAACAAAAAGTCGAATTTACCAATGTCAAGGGAGCACATGATGACTATGACAATCTAATTTAAAAGAATCGAATGATCCATGGATCATTCCATTCTTTTAAAAGAGCATATGTTGACACCCAGAAATGATTAACTTTTTTGTTATTATCAACAAGTATTAGACGTAGTCAATAAAAGTAGAGTTTGGTTAACAATGAGCAAAACAATCAGCAACTTGAAGGAATCTACAGCTTGCTAAGGAAATCATCGACAACATCAATTATCGACGAGAGCCTTTATCAAGACTTGAGAAGTTGATTGCCAAAGTCATCAACAGCAGGCAATCGACATGAAGACATAATTGCTCGGTATTTATGTTTTGTTGCCGCTAATTTAGGGATTTAAACTTCTTGTGGATATTTGTTCCAGTTAATAGGAGTAAGTGGATAAAACAACTTCTTTTAACCGCCATTAGGAAGTTATTTGTTATTTAAATTCCAAAATTGTAATCGTTGTATGTAACTAATGATTGTGGGCTATAAATAGCCACATCATACTCTTTGTAAGGCAATCGATCAATAAAAAAACTCAAGGTTCTCGCAAATTTATCTTCATCTTTACTTTTCTGCAATTTATCTTTTTCACAAAGCAAATATCTTTCAATTCTCGTACTTTAGTTGTAGTTTCCAGATTTTCATTACCGATTAAATTCCAATGTCGTATATTTGTCATCGCATTTTGTTGTTGATTAAATTTTGGCGAAGCTTTTTATGTCATCAGACTTCATTGTTGATTAAATTCCGTTGAAGCATATTTGTTCCTTGTGTTCTACAGGTAAGTGGTTCCAGGTTCCAGGTGGAACCTGTAAGGAACCTGGAACCGTTCACCCGTAGAACACAAGGAACCTGGAACCTACCCTCGGGTACAGATTCCTCATTTATTGAAATCTGGAACCTACTTGTTGGAATATAGAACCTGAAACCTACCCTGTCACAGGTTATAGGGTAGGTCCCAGGGTCTAACAAGTTCTTTTATTTATTTATTTCATTTTTAGTTAAACAAAATGAAAATAAACGCAATAGTATTGAACAAGCTTGTCATTCACTAAAGAGAATACAAAAGACTAGTTTTCTTAGCATTACGGTTCAAATAAATACAATTAAAATGAGAAGTCATTGCGTGAATCGATACTAGGGGTTAGCGATTCCATGTTCCGTGCAGGTTCCACTTGGAACCTACCCATGAGAATAGGTTCATCACTTTTTGGAACCTAGAACCTACCCTATAACAGGTTTCAGGGTCTACCCAAATTTCATTTGTATTATTAATTGAACAATTGCAGTGAATCATCACCTTTAATGACTACCATTTGCTGCTATTATTCACTGACCATAACTTATATTTAGACAAATGAAGAATATGAAACATTAACAAGTCATAAAATGAAAGCTCAAACTAGTGGTTCCAGATTATACACCCATCATCTAACGCCATGAAACACCCAAGATCATGCGAAGACATCAAGAAAAAACACAAAAAACTTGTTTATGTTTCAGGTTTCAAGTTCCAGGTTCCACCTACCTAGAACCTGAAACCTACCGTCGAAACAGGTTCCTCAATTTTTGGAACCTGGAACATACCCTACATACCTTGAAACCCGGAACCTACAGGTTCCCACCAGTGAGGTTCTCAGGTTCCAGGTTCTACTCTAGAACCATGCTCACCCCTATTGCGTTCCACTGATACAACTCATGTCCAAAATTTCTATAGAACCCATCTCCTCTTACAGGTTTCGATGAAAGATATTTCGTCGACGATGCAATTTCGGTGAAACACGACCAGTGTCTCCTCTCAAAAACAAGAAAAAAAGCAATGTATCCAAAGAAGAAACAATCCAAGCATTGTATCCTAGAAAGGGAAAGTGATTTTCTTAGATATTTTGTTAACTAGACCCTTGAGATATTTGTTAAGTGACTTGTCAACAAAAGTTATTAATTCCAAAGGTATCAACTTTTCTTTGTGATGTGCATAATTTTGCTGACGAATTGTCACTAACAAAATCGACATTTTAGTGGTTAAACAAGCGCATTGTGAAATAGCAAAACCTCGTCCCTAAAGCCTTTTTGGAGGAAAACTCACGTGTCTCATGGCCGACCCAGGCCGAACCAAATACTAGGCTTAAAAATCCTTGCTAGGCCTGTCGATAATGTAAAAATTAGGACTATTATATTTTCTTCATACAACGATAGGAGCTTGGGTACGCCTGATTAGGTTTGAGTGCGCAGGCCTAGGCCTGGGAAGAAATATGCTTACGTAGACTCGTCAAAATTGGGCACGATTCCGTCTAGCCTGAAGTTTGTTCCATCACCATTTTCCTAAAAGCTTTGAGGGAGAAAAACAATTCGTCGAGGAATATTTCGTTGTTATTAAAGAATTTATCGTGACTTTGATTCATATAATCAAGGGTAATTATCATCTCACTAAGTATATTGAACATATCCATCCCCAAGAAGGAGCCAAAGGGACACCATAATCTTAGAATGACAAATATCATTTTTCTTTAGGTTTAAATATAACCAAAAACCTTAATCTTAAACTATGCATATTGTGACATCAATATCCCAAACGTAATATCATAAAAAACCCAAAACCATACCCACTATGACATCAATACTTTGATCTTTTTTTTGTCACAAAAACCCTTAAACTATGTCACTGTAACATCAATATCCCAAATTTTGGTATAGTGGACAAAGTTTAGGGTTTTTTTGTGGTAGACGAAGGGTGTTTTTGTCACGCTAATACAAGTTTTGGGGCTTTAGTGACACAAAAAGTTGGAGGTTTGGTGCCACAACGGGCAAAGTTTAAGGTTTTTGGTGGTAGAACAAAGATTTTTTTGTCACACTGATACATGTTTGAAGGGTTTTGGTGACAAAAAATAGTTCGGGTATTGGTGTCACGGTGTACAAAATCTAAGATTCGTTGGTGGTAGATTGAGGTTTTAAAAGAATTTAAAGTTCGCATCAGTACCGATCGGCATTCATGTCAGCAATTTTCGGCCAAAATTAATCGGAAGAACTATTGGCAAATCGTCAAAAGGTTTATGACTACATTTGTCAAATTGAAAAATTTAAGACTAAGTTAGCATTCTTACAATAGAATTAAGACTCTCTCGATCATTTTCCCTTTAGGAAATGTAGACCAGCGGCACAACATACTGTCAGAAACAAGAATCGAGCACAAGAAAAACGAAAAAAATGAGGAGATAAGAGGAAGTTGGACGGAGTCAATTGAACATGATCTCCAAAAGCAGTACTAGTAGTAGTCAAACGACCTCCCCGGCACTGGTCCTTGCTTGCTTGTCTCCATCCGTCGCCGTTCCCATTTCAAGTTGATGGATGGATGGATACGAACCTCTACATGGCAAGTAGCCAAGAAGCGACAAACCTGTGCAGATCCCAAGGATCGCTCCTTTTCCCCAATCATCTACACAAAGGGTCACGTGTTCACAACCCGAGGAGAGAGCCCCTCGTTTTCCCGCTGAACAGGTCAAACACAACCCTCACGTCCGTCCACGTCGACGCTCAGGAAACCCCCAAAATTCAAGAATCTCCGGCTGCTGCTGCGCTGTCTGGCTATGGATTCCGCCAACTTGTCCCCGCTTGGTTTCGTTTCTATCAGGAGAGATGACATCTGAAAGAGAAAAGAGAAGAGAGAGAGAGAGAGAGAGAGAGAGAGAGAGAGAAACAGGGGGAAAGATGGTGATGCGACGGACGCGCGCAGTTTCCTCGTCAACTTCCTTCGGTTTATTACAGTTAGCGAGGCCCCACCTGGTCCACGCGTTTCCGCGTGCGAGCCACCGCCCAAAGCCCCCCCTCCCCCCCCCACCCTGCTTAGCGGTTAATCAACTGTCACGAACCGTGTCCCGGGAGTGGCGTGACGTCACCGTGGAAAGCCCCGCTTTGTCGGGTTTCGCGTTTTTTTTTATCCCTCTTTCTGGATCCGCCGAGCCACGTCGGACTCTCTGTCGGGCGGGTCGGCCCCACCTGGGGCTTCCGCGATCGTTCGGGCTTTCCTTAGCTTTCCACCGGCTACGTTATCCCCTCGCCGATTTTTACCAGCTTCCCACGGATTTTCCGCGTGCACAGTTTTTTTTTATCTTTTATTTATTTATTCCATTCGAGAACCTTTTTTTGAATTGAATCAACTGTATGTGTGTGATAGTTTATCGTTAGCGCTCGGACTCAAAAATTAAAGATCTGATGTTGAATTTGGCTAGATCATCTCCAGATTAGTTTCTCAAATTTGATCTCAGCTCTATAACATGTTGAGTCCACGACTTTATTTGATTGATAATTGCTAAATTATATAAAAAAAGTTAGTGAGGAAATTTGACTGCATCTTGATTCAATGCTCATTCTCGACTTAAATACATCTCTAATCATCCGCGATAGCCGACCACCGAGTTAAGTTTGCGAGTAAACAAATCAAACACTGTTAAACTTAAGCTCGCGTAGTTTTGAGATTCAAATTACTAAAAACTCGACTTGGACGTGATAAGGATTACGACTTGGGTTTGAATAACCGAGGAAAGTGAGCTCAAATAGCTCATGAATTCCTCGGCTTGTTCGTGTTGCCCTCACTCAACATTCATTGAATTCCGTGAGATAGAATCTATTAACAGAGCTAGATAAACATAAAGTAAACGGTCAAGCTTACCAAAAAAACCAAGAAAACACGAGCACTAATAAGAAAATCGGAAATTTCAATCGGAAACAAGAGAAGGCATCGTCTTTACTTTCATTCACCGATTAAGGAAGGAGTCCATGCGCAAAAGGGCCCATGTTTTTAACAAACGAAATAATATAATTATCCGATAGCATTTCGCGGTATCATTTATCTCGTCGCGGGTGTTTCCTAAAATTGGTAGGCGCCACGATTTTTTTTGCGTGTGAAAAATGAGAGAGAGACAGAGACAGAGAGAAGCAGGACGAAATCGAGCTGTCCTGGACTGGACATAATGAATCGCCGTGTAAGAATCGCGGGGACCGGTACGTCAGAAGGTACAACTCGTCCAAGTGGCGTCAAAAGTATGGACCATTGACCTTGACAAGCTCCCCTTCCTCCTCCCTTCCTGTCTTCCGTTCATTCCCTCCCCCCTCGTAAAAAACAAGCAACACACTCTTTTACTCAGTCAAACCCCTAGAAAATATAAAATATATATATTTATGTATATGCAGCCCGCCACCCAATCCAATTGCCACGTCACATCCCCCATACTCCACACGTGTCGCACGCTGAGTCGCGCCCAACTTGGCAGGGCCCCTCTCCCCACTCTCGCGCTCACGTCACGGAGCTAGCTGGCACGCTCCAAGGAGTCCCGGTCACTCAGATTCTTCTCCCGTCCTGCTCCCCTGACGCGACACCTCTCTCTGCGTCCTATCCGTAGGAAGCAACTCGAGGCGTCCAGTCTGTATCCTCCTAATCCCGTGTCCACGTCCACGTCCCAGTTCCCAACAATCACCCACCCCCCCGCCACGCTTCCCCTATATAGAAATCCTTCACCACGAACCCCCCCACAAATCAGAGCACACTTCTCCGCAGCTTCATCACTCATAAACAGGCACGAGCACATTATCCACTTCTATCATCACACTAGCCCAGTGCAGACGTACTCCAATGGACCCTTTCTCTTCCTTTTCCGATCCCAGCTCCAACTGCTTCGACTTCGCCGAGTCGTCGTCCTCGTCGCCGATGTCTGACGGCAGGAGTGCCGCTGCGGGGGCAGCGCTCGAGGGGAACTTCTCCGACGAGGAGGTGGTCCTCCTCGCGTCGCACCACCCGAAGAAGCGGGCGGGAAGGAAGAAGTTCCAGGAGACGCGCCACCCGGTGTACCGTGGGGTGCGGCGGCGCAACTCGGGCAAGTGGGTCTGCGAGGTCCGCGAGCCCAACAAGAAGTCCAGGATCTGGCTCGGCACGTTCCCCACCGCGGAGATGGCGGCGAGGGCGCACGACGTGGCGGCGCTCGCGCTGAGGGGCCGGTCCGCCTGCCTCAACTTCGCGGACTCCGCGTGGCGGCTTCCCGCGCCGGCGTCGGCGGACGCCAAGGACATACAGAAGGCGGCAGCCAAGGCCGCAGAGGAGTTCCGGCCGGCGGAGTCGGAGGACGTGATGTCGGGGGACGAGAAGAAGTTGAATTCGGAGGAGGGAGTGCTGTACGACGACGAGGACATCTTCGGGATGCCAGGGCTGCTCGCAAATATGGCGGAGGGGATGCTCTTGCCTCCACCACAATGCGGCGGAGATGGATATGGCGGCGAGGACGAGGGGAATTTGGATGCATACGTGTCGTTATGGAGCTATTCCGTCTAAATCATTGCTCCATTTCACTTGTAGTTTCCGTTGTTAGGGGCGACTTTGATGCCGTACTTAGAAGTTTTTTAAATGGAGTGCGGATACAAGGTGAAGGGTATGAAAAAGAAGATGTTTTCGGAAGCCATTTCGTGGCTTGTCATTAGCTACAAGCACAGCGATGAAGCACAGCTTTTCTGATGTTGGGCCTCCGATAGAGCGGATAGGAAGGTGAAACGAAGAATAAAGTAGGTTGTGGTTCGATGTAAGATCGGCGTCTGCATATATTTAATAAAGAAACTGCCGAGTCATCATGAATTTGAAAGAAGTCGTTTTCAGACATACGCAATTGATCTTCGAATTTATCATGTATAAGTCAAAAGTGTGCCCGTGAAATTCACATGGGTTCTTTAAGTTGAGGTCCATTTTGCTCTTGGCTAAGTTCTATAAAGGACTCCAGCAAATGCATACGGGCCCATTACAAGAGTTAATGGAACGACCCTGTTCTGCACAAAATTTCCCCGTTCCGTGCAAAATTGATCTCGACGTTTCGCAGTGAGCTTATAAGTAAAGTAAAGTGACAGAACCCATAGGCAAGACGCTTCCCATATAAATACATTAATCTGGAAGCGTGATGATGATCCATATTGAAATTGTTTTTATTATTTGCGGAAGAAAACTCGGAACAAATTGTGTTGAGGCACGAAGCAGGATTGGTAATGAGAAGACACGCGCCAGAAAAGATAACTTCCAATAATAGCAGCCGATACTCTCTTGAAAAGGCAGTGAGAAGCATCGTCAATAGAAAGGGACGACGGTTCGACCTTTTGGGCAGGAAAGAAAATGTACAAACCAAAGAGATACGAAATGATTGATATAGTCGAGTTCTGGATATGATCAGGCTTGTACTCTTTAACTTTTGAATTTATTTCAAACTAGATTCACTCGGATTGCAAGTCATCCTAATCTCATCGGCCGTCGGGGCCAAAAATAGCCCACAGCCCAAAAAGACGCCCGTTTTGATCCCGTAAGCCTCAAAAACGGTAGTTGACGTCTTCTTCTTCTGAGAAGAGGAGCAAGTTCCCTGCCCGTGACTCTCTATCTATTAATAATACGAGGCAAAAGCAACAGAAAAAAAAGATGATAGAAGGCTAAGAAGCCACGTTGAAGAAGGAAAACCTTAAGTCACGATTTGTGGTCAACAAAGTAACTTCTACGTAGGGGTGATCGATTTCAGGATGGGTTGGGTCCAGACTTGGAACCTGAAACCAACCCTGTTATAATCGGTTCTCAATTTTTGGAATCTGAAACCGATTCTGTTTTCCCTGGACCCTGTTTTGGAACCGACCCTGTTTTTCCGGTCCGGTTTCAGGGTTTACCCGAGAACCTGTTTTTTTTTTTTTTCCTTTTTTCTAGTTTCATTTTTTTCTAGCAAAATAATATATGTTCTTGTCAACGATGCGAAACTAATATGTGACGAATTATTCACTTCCTATTCATAAATTACAAGCAGCAAGCATAAAATATTAGCGATCTGCATGCTAACAAGCACGAGTTCTTTTCTTTTCTATATTGGATAAAAGGGCGAAATTTCTTTTTAGTGAATTTAAGTTCTTCATCTAAACCAAAAGAACGACAAGAATGAACAAAGGGGGACTCCTTATGAACATATCAGGTTAACTCAAGGGGGTTCTCAACTCAAATATGCAAAAATAACTGATCTTTAAGGAGCTTGCAACATATAGAGTTTCGAGTTGAGGCGAACCACTGAAATCAGGTATGCAACCAACGCTTATATTCTACCATTAAACAAACTCAGAAGTCCAAGAAGCAAGAGATAAAAGTTTCAAAAAAAAAAAAAAAACTCAGACAAGCTGGATTCCGCAAGATCATATGGCGTCTCTTCCCTCAAGTCCTCCATTGATCATCAAAATTCAGAGAATCTTCTACACCAACCCAAGCCCGCAACGAAAAACCCCTAAAACTCAAACGCAAAACCTCAAACTCGAACTCGAACATTTCCCCAACACGAGAACAAGCTCAAGCTCGAAACCATCTAACCTTGCAACAAAGACGAAGAAGAGAGACTGAGGGAACGGAGGACTCACGGATCGGTGAGAGCCGGACGGGCGAAGCGAACAAGGAGCCTCCTCGGTTGCGTAATTGCGTTCTTGCGGCGAAGAGAGAACTGAGACAGAGGAGCGGCGAAGAGAGCGAAGAGAGAAGAGAGGTAGGGTATCGTGATCGTCATTTAGGGTTTTTTTTTTTTACATTATCTTAAAACCGGTTCTAAAACTGGTCCGGGTTGATTTTTACTTGGAACCGGAAACCGGACCGGTTCTAACCGGTTCCAAAAAAATAGAACCGGTTCCCGAACCGGTTCTAACAAGAACCGGTACCTGGACCTGTTTTTCGGGTGGGCCGGTCCGGTTTTTAGGTAAACCCGGTCCAGTTGCACACCCCTACTTCTATGGTTGAGAAGAGTACACGTTGCTGTAAAAAAACACTAAAAAAAAATAAGGATTTAGCCACTAAAAAAAAATTCGTCGCTAATTCCATTGCAAATTTGCGACGAATTTTGCGACGGAAAAAAATCCATGGCTAATTTGCGACGGAATTTGCCACAAAAAAAAATTCGTGGCTAATTTGCGACGGAATTAGCGACGAATTTTTTTTCCATTGCTAATTTGCGATGGAATTTGCCACGAAAAAAAATGTCATCGCTAATTTGCGATGGAATTTGCCACGAAAAAAAATTCGTCGCTAATTTGCGACGGAATTAGCGACGAATTTTTTTTCCGTTGCTAATTTGCGACGAAAAAAAATGTCGTCGCTAATTTGCGACGGAATTTGCCATGAAAAAAAATTCGTCACTAAATTGCGACGGAATTTGCCACGAAAAAAATCCGTCGCTAATTTGCAACGGAATTTGCGACGAAAAAGTATTCGTTGCTAATTTGCGACGGAGTTAGCGACTTATTTTTTTTCGTCGCTAATTTTGCGACGTAATTTGCAACGAAAAATAAATTCGTCGCTAATATATGTATTGCGTGTCAAATATTTACTAATATATAAATGTAAATTGTTAATAGAATTTTTCAAACTTCAATGTATGGACTACCACCAAATGAGTTTGACCGTTTGTGCGATGAACAATTTGCAGCATGGTTCAAAACATATGTAAGTTGCCTATGGACCAAAACCAAGTTATTAATATTTTATACATCATTTAAATATATATTATTGACTTTGCGTGTGTGACCTTAGGTTCACAGTAATCATGATCAAGTTGAAGAGCAATGATTGCTATATTATCTGTCATGGGGTCCAAAGTCAAGAGTACGAACTTGGCCAGCATATTTCATAAACGGGTATAATTTTCACACTCAAGAATATGGAATGGGAAAAGCCACAATGAATAGTGGTGTATGTGTTCGATCATATAACGGTGACAGTTCAAAAGATGATTTTTATGGCTTGTTGGATAAAATCATGGAGATAGAGTATCCCGGACCATTAATGCGGGTTGTGTTATTTAAGTGCATGTGGTTCGACCCCGTCAAAGGAATGAAGGTGCATACGAAGTTTAATTTGATTGAAATAAATCACAAGAAAATGTATATGAAATATGAACCATTTGTGTTGGCACAACAAACAATTCAAGTATATTATGCATCATATCCTAGTTTGAAACGTGACAAAGCTGATTGGTTGGCTGTATGTAAAACCAAAGCACGAAGAAAAATCGAGGAACACTGGAAGGATACAGCATATCAACAAGAGGAAGTTTGTAACACGGTTCAAACTGAGGAATATAACATTCCAACTCTACGAGATCCATGTGGAGCAATGATGATGTAGATCTAACTGAAATTTGCGAATCGAATTTAGAACGTGTTGCAGAATCTGATTTTAAGACAGAGGATGATGATGATGATGATAATGATGATGATGACGACGACGATGATGCTCAAGAAGAAGATGAAGATCAAGATGAAGACGAACGTGAAGATGAAGATTTAGATTTTTGAGACTTTTTACTAATTATGTCGTAATTATTATTATTATTATTATGACAAGAGTTTATTGTTGTTGTCATATTTATTATTATTGTTGTTGTCGTAATTATTAGTATTGTTGTTATTATTAGGGTTAATACCACGAAAAACCCTAAACTAGTACACTTATGACAATTTTACCCCAAACTATTTTTTTTACCATAAAAAACCCCAAATTTGTACACCTGTGACAAATCTACCATGAACTATTTTTTTTTACCACCAAAAACCCCAAACTGGTATACATGTGACAATTTTACTCCGAACTAATTTTTTAATATTATTTTTTTTTTTATTTTTTTATTTTTTCTTTACTTTATTTTTTCCTTTCTCTTCAACCTTTGGCCGGTCGCCGGACCGGCGACCGGCCAGAGGCTGAAGCCGGCGAGGTCGGCCCCGCTAGCCACTGGCGAGGCTCGACCTCGCCGGCGTTGGGCGAGGTCGGCCCGCGAGCCACTTGGCGAGGCTCGACCTCGCCGGCGTTGGCGAGGTCGGCCCCGCCGGCCCCTTGGCGAGGCTCGACCTCGCCGGCGATGGCGAGTCGGCCTCGCCTTGCAGCAGCGAGGTCGAGCCTCGCCGGATCTAGTAGGGCCCGGCCTCCGGGCCGTGGCGAGGCACGACCTCATCGACGTTGGGCGAGGTCGGCTCGCCCAACGCCGGCGAGGTCGAGCCTCGCCGCCGGCCGGTAGGGACCGGGCCCTCGCCGGCGTTGGGCGAGGTTGGCCTCGCCCGCAACGGCGAGGTCGAGCCTCGCCGGATCCGGCGAGGGCTCGGCCCCACCGTTGAAGGCGAGGTCGGCTGCCGGCGTTAGGTGAGGTTGCCTGGCGTTGGGAGGTCGGCCTCGCCACCCAGCGGCGAGGTCGAGCCTCGCCGGATTGGCCGACCTCGCCCGCACGCGGCGAGGCCGACCTCGCCCAACGCCGGCGAGGTCGTGCCTCGCCAGCGGCCGGTGGGGCCGGGCCCTCGCCAGATCTGGCGAGGCTCGACCTCGCCGTTGCAGGGCGAGGCCGACCTCGCCCAACGCCGGCGAGGTCGAGCCTCGCCTGCTTCCGCCTCTGGCCAGTCCGGAGGCCGGTCGCCGGACCGGACCGGCCAGAGGTTGAAGAGAAAGGAAAAAAAAGTAAAGAAAAAATAAAAAAATTCGAAAAATAAAAAATAATATTAAAAAATTAGTTCGGGATAAAATTGTCACAAATATACCAGTTTTGGGTTTTTGGTGGTCAAAAAAATAGTTCGGGGTAGATTTATCACAAGTGTACCAGTTTGGGGTTTTTTATAGTAAAAAAAATAGTTTGGGGTAAAATTGTCACAAATGTACCAGTTTAGGGTTTTTCGTGGTATTAACCATTATTATTATTATTATTATTATTATTATTATTGTTGTTGTTGTTGTTGTTGTTGTTGTTGTTGTTGATTATTATTATTATTGCTATTATTGTTACTGAAACATTATTGTCGGGAAAAAAAATGAATTAGGCGTGTGTGGGCTAGTAGAAATGAAATTCATGGCTAAATCCGTGGCAAATTTGCCACGGATTTAGCCACGAATTTGAAAAAAATGAATTGTGAGCATTTTTTAGAAATTCGTGGCTAAATCCGTGGCAAATTTGCCACGGATTTTGTCACGAATTTGAAAAAAATGCCCACACACGCCTAAGTCATTTTTTTTTTAAATTCATGGCAAATTTTGCCACGGATTTAGCCACGAATTTCGTTAAAGGCTAGGAAAAATGAAATTCGTGTCTAAATTCATGGCAAAAATTTGCCACGAATTTCTTTAAAGGCTAGTAAAAATGAAATTTGTGGCTAAATCCGTGGCAAATTTGCCCACGAATTTGATTTCTAAAAATGAATTAGGCGTGTGTGGGCAATATTTTATGAAATTTGTGGCAAAATCCGTGGCAAATTTGCCACGGATTTTGCCACGAATTTAATTTCTACTAGCCTATTTTTGAAATTCGTGGCTAAATCCGTGGCAAATTTGCCACGGATTTAGTCACGAATTTAATTTCTACTAGCCTATTTTTGAAATTCGTGGCTAAATCCGTGGCAAATTAGCCACGAATTTAAAAAAATGCCCACACACGCCGAATTTTTTTTTTTTGAAATTCGTGGCTAAGCAAATGTGGCAAATTTGCCACGGAGTTTAGCCACGAATTTGATATCTACTAGTCTATTTATGAAATTCGTGGTTAAATCCGTGGCAAATTTGCCACGGATTTAGCCACGAATTTTAAAAAAAGCCCACACACACCTAATTTATTTTTTTGAAATTCATGGCAAATTTGCTACGGATTTAGCCACGAATTTCATAAATAGGCTAGTAGAAATTAAATTCGTGGCAAATTTGCCACGAATTTCAAAAAAATGTCCACACACGCCATTCCTCATTTTTTTTTTAAATTCGTGGCTAAATCCGTGGCAAATTTTGTCACGGATTTAATAAAGTCTCGCGTTATTATCCCGATTATATTTATTTTCGTGGTTAAATCCGTAGCTAATTAGCCACGAAAATAAAGTCTCGTGGCATTTTCCCTACTATATTTTAGCCACGGATTTAGCCACGAAAATAAACTCTTGCTTCACTTTCCCGATTTTTTTTTAATTTCGTTGGTAAGTCCGTGGCTTTGTTTAGCGACGAACTCTTATGTCCGTGGCAAAATTCCCTAATTTTGCTCCCCGCCCTCTCTCAAATTTGCCCGCCCTCACCCCAATTTTCTCTCTCTCTCTCTCTGTTATTCCTCAGATCCCCCCCTTCCGCCAAACACCTCTCCGTCGCTCCCTCCTCCCCTCCACCAGCCATGATGGCCACCCTCACCGCCACCGCCGCCGTCGCCTCCGCCTCCGCCGCCATCCGCCCGTTCCGCTCCCACAAGCCCTCCCGCGCTCCCGTCGGGATCCGGTGCTCCGTCGCCGAGGGCCCCGCGATCTCCCAGCCGAGGGCCGCCGGCGGGGGACTGGTTGATTGCGTGGTGGTCGGGGGCGGGATCAGCGGGCTCTGCATCGCCCAGGCGCCCGCCACGAAGCACCGCGACAGGGCCCCCGACGTGGTCGTCACCGAGGCCAGGGACCGCGTCGGCGGCAACATCACCACCGTCGAGAGGGACGGCTACCTGTGGGAGGAGGGCCTCAATAGTTTCCAGCCATTCCGAGATTTGTACGTTCCCATTCCGAGATTTTTCACTTGGGAATGTTGTTTGAAGAATTTGAAGCGATATTTGGGGAGCCCAAGGTGGAATGGTCGAGCGGAGGAGGTCATCCGCTGCGGCGGTTGTTGTATTATGTCCACGCTCCGGACCCTTCTCACCTCAGGATCCACGTCACGGATTTCCACTCCAACACTTGGGAGGCCATTCGCTCTGTTCATCAGCTCGAGGACATGGTCTGTCTTCTTGCCTTTTGATTCCCCTTTTTGTTTCATTTTATTTGGTTCTGTTCCTATTGGTACAGATTTCATTTTAAGGACTTTAGCTGTGGTGCGTGTTTTGTGAACGGGAAGGAGGGAAAGAGTCGATTTCGAAATTTTCTCGTTTGTTGGGTTGTGCTTAGTTTGATTGATCAATGAATGTAGTATGCTTTTATTATAAAATTAGTGAGACCAACATATAAATCTATGGGGGCACAAATTTTCTTCCTTTTTTATATAAACCCTCTTTGGGAATCAAATAGTTATTTTGAGTGAGTAAATTGTTGGGAATGCATTCGTCTTATGGCTGGTTCCAATCTCCAGATCTCTGAGTTAAGTGGGGATGTAAAAGAAGCAAAAAAAAAGAAAAAACAAGCAGAGATGAATAAAGGAGAAAATAAAATACAACTAGATCTAGTATGAGGTCGGCAATTAGAGCAAAAGAGATAGGATTTGTAGTTGGGTCTTTGAAAAGATAAGCAACTTTTACTTGGCCTTTATCCTTTATGTCAGGTTCACTAGAATTTATATTAGCTTGGAACTTCCGGTTATCTCAGTATGAATTAAGCATCTTTAGCTCCGTGTCAACAATTCCTGTTTTTCTCCACAAGGGATTGTGAGTACGTGATGTCCTTCAATGGTATCGCAGGTCTCTTTACTAGTTTGTATTTGTGGTGCACAATTTTGTGGAATGTAGGTAGTGGCTATGATTGATTTGATGGAAAAGAAGGTATAGTATGTGTTCTTGCTGGAAATTTCCTGGAAAAAATGGTTGCATTCTCCCTATGATTTCCTTTCTCTTGTCCTGGCATTGGATGTAAAATTCTTAGGTCCTTAAATCTCCTTGTTTGAAGATTTAATAGCTGGATCCACAGTCATTTCTAATTTGTTTAGGGTTCTTTCTTGTCCCTGAGCCTGCTGTTTCTCAACTAGTCATTGGTGGATATATTGAGGTCACAATAACAACTTGAGCTGATGAAAAATGTCAATATCTACTAACATTCAGAGCCTAACTAGTGATAATTGTTTTTTACAAAACCGAACTAGCTGGCCCACTTACTCCGGGAACAGTGGTGTTACTGTTTGATCAAGGTCATTGTCAATGTCATTCTCATCAAAAGTCTCTATGAGCTCTACGAAGAGAAAAATGAGTGTATTGTTGTATTTTGAGACAACTGGTGAGAAACTATTTATAACCTTAATGATTCTCATAACTACTATCCGACAGTTCGATTAGTTAAATACTTCCATCTTTCATATAGCTGTGAGGTAGTCATACTATACCTTTTGAAATGCAAGTGCAGAGGGACAACATTGGGATTGGTCGCTCTTGGTCTGAGTTCATTGACTATTTCGTGGCTTCAATAAAGTCTGAAGATGTAAAAGTTGTTCTGCATGGACAATCGGACTCAGGTGGTGAGTCTCGTTTGTTCTTTGCTCTTTTGTTGCCTTTACTAATTTATGCTCCTTATGTTATTACCTCTACCTAGTTATGTTCATCTGAGATTGCCGCTTTGATCTGTTTATTCGTGATATTTGGCAACTTGTAGAGGTGAAGTTTCTTCATGTGGCTTGAATTTGGATGTCATGTCATTTTCTGGAAAATATATATTTTTAGCTTCAAGGAATGTCCTAATGTGAAAAAGATCCTTTTCTCCTAGCAAGAGACTTGCAATTCTTAAAGTTTTAGAGTCCCATCCTTCACTGCAAAAGATCCTTTTCTCCGAGCAAGAGACTTGCCATTGTTGAAGTCTTAGATTCCCGGCCTTCACTGCAGTTATATCACGATGACGTTGCAGAAAAAGTGGCCACTAAAAGGTTGCAGTTGGGTGAGGGAAATCAAAGACTTCTCGAGTCACTCTGAGTTTCTTTTTCATGTAACTGCCTCAGGAATATTGCACAAGACATCTTTGACTATTCTTAATGAAATTGTAGATGGAGACTAATTTGCTGTCAATATCTTTTCAGTTGACTATGGGATTTTTTCTGTGTATTTGATTAAGACAAGCTTTACTGGACCTCTAAATGAAAGGTTTCTCAACTGTGATGAAATTGGTGCCTGATTGATGAGAAAGGTAACTTATTCTTGGATATCCACGGTTGAAATACCTTGTTGGTCAGAGTCACTAATGGTGATTCTGAAGATTTGAACCTGGTCTAATAACATATTCTCATCTTGTTGATGTATCTCTACAAAGAATAAATGTGTAGTTTGATCAGTAAAAGTAGTACATTTGCTTCTTCCTTCATTATATTATTATGGTGTCTTTATGTGTTAAAATTTTGGGACTTGCTTAAAACTGTAGATGATATGCCAGTAGATAAACTTGAATCTTCTGATATGCGGCTGCTCGAAGCTGGTTGTAAAAATGTTAAACTTGTAGTTAGGAGACTGGGAATTGTCATTATGTACCACGAAATAATGTAGCATTTAGGGTGTATCCTGCCCTATTCGACCGAACAACTTACTTTGGCTGTTTCACCCTATTTGCTGGTAAACTCAACTGCATTACTGTTGGAGTTGTCATCAAGATCTTTAGACACCCTAACAGATAACAACAGAAATTGAGAGACAACCAGTATCTTTCAGTTATTTTGTTTAGTAATTGTTGAGTCTATACTTATAGTTGCTCTGATCTGCTACTTCCTTGAGTATCATTTGACAGAGAAGCTGCAAAATAAGTTGACGTAGATGGGAGGCATCTTTTGAAAATTTTATGAGATTTCAGATCATCTGCTTTTGTTCTTGCAGGGGCTACATCTGCAAAGTTAGTTGCTCAGAAAGCCAAAGGAATGCCATTGATATTTGTTACTCTTGTAAAACTTGTGGATTTTGCTGCAAGGGAGGTGATGGGCAACCTGTCAATGCAGCTATTCATGGCATTCAAGAACACTCACACTTCACTTGCATTCCTTGATAGGCGAGTGATCTTTACACTGTTGACCTTATTGTATGTTTTGCTATCAGTGAACCTATAAAAACTGGTAATGGACCATCCTCTACTGAAAATTGTAGATGAGGGTCGAGATCATGTCTCCTTTGGTGCCCTGAACCAATGTAATGAAATGTATGAAGTGATATTAAATTGCCAATCCAGCATTCTTATCACTGATGCAATTGCTGGATTCCAGAAAATGCTCTGCATGGATCCTAGAAGAAGCAAGATGCTCTGTAAGAACTTCACGATCTTATTACCTCGAAGAGATCCCGAGCATGGCAAATACCCTTGAGAGGATTATGTTCAAGTACATTGAGCTATGTGTTGATATGCGGAGGGGAGATTTGCCACGGATGTTCAAGTACATTGAGCTATATGTTCAAGTACATGGAAAATGTAGATGAATGTATTTCATTTTCATATTATTATAATAGTTTGATCACATTGAGCTATATGTTCAAGTACATGGAAAATGTAGATGAATGTATTTCATTTTCATATTATTATAATATTTTGATGTTATTAAGTGCTTAATCAATGTTAAATACAAATTCTAGAAATTAATTTTGCTTTAAATTACATTTAAAATCGAATAAGAAAATGAAATACATTCATTTTGGTGGGTAATTTAAATTACCCCGAAATCTCGAATAAGTTAAAAAAAAGCGACAAAAAAAATTTGGTGGCAAATTACGAAAATATGTTCAAATCCAAATTAGTAATAAATTTTGCCCACGAATAATTAAAACGGAATTTTTTGCTACGAAAATATTTAGAGTACGCAATTGTATTAACTCAACAAAAAAATTTTTTGAAAAAAATGGCGACGAATTTTGCCACGAATATAGTTAAGTAGCAAATTAAAACATTTTGCATACGAATATTAGCGGCGAATTTTGCCACGAATTAAGTTTGTGGCAAATTACTTTGAATTTTGCCAAATTTAATTTTCTTTAGGTGGCAAAAAAATAAAATAAAAATAAAATACCATTCTAGGAAGCAGTTCTAAAGCAAAAATAAATTTTATTTCAAAGTGGGTGGCTAGAGGATTGTAAGTCATTTTGAAAAAAAGAAGTTTTGAAATTTTGATTTTTTATGTTTTTTTCACCTAAAAAATTTAAATTTCACGAAACAAAGGCTCATTTGATAAACAACACAAAATTCTATTTCCAGGAAAAAAAAATCCATTTTTTTAAAAAATGGAATAAAAATAATTAGAAAATCCAAAAAATCCAAAAAAATTGAAAAATTCTAGAAAAATTCATCACAATTTCCAAAAAATAAAAAAATTCAGATTTTTCTAGAAAATAGGAAATTTGTTGAATTTTTTCAAAAAAATTTAAAAAATCAACAATTTCCAAAGCTGGGTCATAGAATGACTCTAAAATTCTGTGAAGTTTTGAAATTTTTAATTTTTTGATTTTTTTTGTGCACCAAAAAAATTTAAATTTAAAAATTTTAAAAATTCCGAGTAGTTTCCAATACATTGTGGAGTTTTGGTGAAATTTAAATTTTTTTTTTTTGAAAAAATTCAACAAATTTCCTATTTTCCGAAATCTTAAATTTTTTTATTTTCTCTATTTTGATGATTTTTTCTAGAATTTTTCAATTTTTTGGGATTTTCTGAATTTTTTTTTAAAGATTTTTATGAATTTTTCGGATTTTTTATTATTTTTATTCCATTTCTAAAAAAATGGATTTTTGTTCCTGAAATAGAATTTTCATAAAAAAATCAAAAATTTTAAAAAATTTACAGGCAAATGACTTAAATGCCTTTAACCACCCAGCTTTGAGTGCTAAAAATAGAAATTTTTTTAGGTGTCCAAATGGTTTTTTTGATTTTAAAATTTTTTTGGCACCTAAAAAATTAAAATTTCACTCAAAGTGGATGGCACATGTATTCAAAGTCATTCCGAAGTTTTGAATTTTTTTTGATTTTTTCTTTTTCGGCACCTAAAAAAATAAAATTTCATTCAAAGCCAAAGGTATGCCATTGATATTTGTTAGTTTGTAAAACTTTTGTTTTTTGCTTATTTTATTTTTGGGCAACCTGTCAATGCAGCTATTCATTTCGTTCAAGAACACTGGGTGACTTCACTTGCATTCCTAGGCAATTATGTGAATTTTGAAATTTTTGACCTTTTTTTATTTTTTTGCCTATCAGTGAACCTATAAAAACTGGTAATGGACCATCCTCTACTGAAAATTGTAGATGAGGGTCGAGATCATGTCTCCTTTGGTGCCCTGAACCTATGTAATGAAATGTATGAAGTGATATTAAATTGCCAATCCAGCATTCTTATCACTGATGCAATTGCTGGATTCAGAAAATGCTCTGCATGGATCCTAGAAGAAGCAAGATGCTCTGTAAGAACTTCACGATCTTATTACCTCGAAGAGATCCCGAGCATGGCAAAATACCCTTGAGAGGATTATGTTTAAGTACATTGAGCTATGTGTTGATATGCGGAGGGGGAGATTTGCCAAGGATGTTCAAGTACATTGAGCTATATGTTCAAGTACATGAAAAATGTAGATGAATGTATTTCATTTTCATATTATTATAATAGTTTCGATCACATTGAGCTATATGTTCAAGTACATGGAAAATGTAGATGAATGTATTTCATTTTCATATTATTATAATATTTTGATGTTATTAAGTGCTTAATCAATGTTAAATACAAATTCTAGAAATTAATTTTGCTTTAAATTACATTTAAAATCGAATAAGAAAATGAAATACATTCATTTTGGTGGGTAATTTAAATTACCCACGAATTTTGACTACCTGAAAAGTTCGTCGCAAAAAACCGACAAAAATTTGGTGGCAAATTAGCCACGAGTTTTGAAATGTGTTCGTCACAAATTAGTAATAAATTTTGCCACGAATAATTAGCAACGATTTTTGCTACGAAAATATTTTCGGTCGCAATTTCGCGACCAACAAAATTTTTTTTGAAAAAATAGCGACGAATTTTGCCACGAATATTTAGCGACGAATTTTGACGAATACTAATGGTTATCATGCGGTACCTTAGTCACGAATTTTGTCACGAATAATTAGCGACGAATTTTGTTTCGTGGCAAATTAGCCACGAATTTTGCCACGAATAATTAGCGACGAATTGGTTTTCCTTCAGTGCTCTCTGTCACATCATTTGGTCGGAAAGGAATCACATCTTTTTCAGAAACAAGAATCTCTCCTTGCCGGCCATTCGTAACCACCTTATAAAAGGTCACAAGAGATAGAGGGCTGTCCTTTAAGCCCGTGGAAGACACTCCCCGCAACCGGAGAATCCAAAACAACTTGGGCATCCCACCAACAATCTTTGAGTGATCTTCCTTTTTAGATTGTTTGTTTCTCTTGTTCTCCCTTAGCCATTGTTTTGGCTCTCTTTTGTTCCACTTAGATTGCGTTTAGCTATGCATAGTTGCACACCTTTTACCCGTTGGAACACCATTGGTGTCCCATTGGGTACGAGGTTTTTGTGTTCGACTATCCCCTCTTTGTAAGTGGTGCGTCAAAAAGTCAATATACATCTTACCTTACAAAAAAATAATAATAATTAGTGACGAATTTTGCGACGAAAATTGAAATTTTCCGTCGCAAAATTTTGCGACGGCCTATTAGTGACGAATTTTTTTCCGTCGCTAATTTTGTCGCAAATTCGTTTAGCGACGAATTTTGCCAAATTTTTCGTGGCAAAATTTGTGGCTAAAACCAACTTTTTTTGTAGTGAAAAGTTGCAGAGAGTTGTCTTGTTGTCGGTGGAGAGGCTCTATAAATAGAGCATGCACTCATTGTTACGAGGGCGTGCGTGGGGAGTTAGAGAATAAACTTTATATCCTTCTACTCCTTCACCCACGCCAACATCTCCTCCCACAATTATGTAACACCATATGTCTATCAGCCAAAGAAACTATATTCTTGTCCCAAAAACCTTGCCTATAATCCTCAAAGTATCCTATCCTTGTCCATCCTCGACCAAGTACCTTATACACTCGTACACTTGCACACATCAAAACACAAACTATCATCGATACCAAAACCATGCTTCCGCACAATCTCAAATACTAACAGTGGAATCAGGGCCTCAGAACTCGAGAATATACAATTGATATCAGAGCCAGGCACGTTCGGATGATTTTGGGCATTTGTCCTCACCGTCCTCAACTAAAATCGAAGCCGGAGCTAACAACTATAACTAGGAGCATTTTGATGGCCCAAGACATATGGAAAATCGTTGAAAAAATGGGTATAAGATGCACATCATGGGGACCAAGTTCATCTAAATTGCTATTGATAGTATGAATTCCGTGATGAGATCAACATGATTAATGATTTTGATGTTTTTAATAGATGTACTATGGTCTATTCTTTTGAGATCGATATACTTACAGCTTAGCAATGGCCAATGTTCTGTGCTGGCCCAAGCGCGGTACAGCCCAACACAATTGGTTCCATGCTAGCCGAGCTTGTTAAGAAAAAGGTCTCGAGAGAGGCCTATGCTCTGTTTGATTAGCATCGTGATTGGAGAAATTAACCTCCTCTAATAAATCCAGTAATGCTTCGTCTGTCCAACACACATACACTTGCACACATTCAAATCACGAACTATCATTAATATCAAAATCATGCTTTCGCGCAATCTCTATCATTTTGTGATGTTTCACAGCCATTGAATGACAACCACTGTTGCTAAAACTTAGCTACAACGGTCATCATTCTATTTGGTATGAAATCTTTTTATTTCTATTTTCAGCACTTAAAAAGGATAACCAGCACTTATTATGCGAGATCAATCCATCAATCTTATATTGACCAATCCATATTCTCCACCAATCAAAACACCATATATGTGAGATCGTCAAGAGAAAGCACAAGTTTGAGCTCGTCAACATATCCAATTGGACCCATCTTCACTCAAAATCTTAAGCTAATGATTTATAGGCCAATTATGATATATTAATTGCTCAACACTACACAAATTCTCCGATGTAGGACTTTTCTACCGCAACTCACGCGTGCATCTCAATAGTATACCTAGTTCCTCGTTGCTCAAAACAATGCAGTAAAGACCATTAAAATACAACAGCAAAACACCAAAACTCCCCAAAGCTCTCCGAAGCACGGGTGAATTCCCTAAAAAACTCCAAACTTTAAGTCAAATCCCAAATCTGTCCCGAACTTTTTTTTGGTCTTGGAAAAAATCCCAAACTTTAGGTCTAGTCCCAAATTTGCCCCAAAATTTTTTTTGTCTAAGAAAAAACCCTAAACTTTAAATTTACTCCCAAATCTGCCTCGAATTTTGTTTTATGTAAAAAAAAAACAGTAAATTTCAATTTATTTTAAAAAATAAACCCCCATGATCTAGTCCCAACTAGACGTGGCACTTTAACGTTGATAACAAATTCCACCTCAGCAAAGTAATGGAACAATAGGTACAGACCGACGTCGCATTTCCACTTCAATAACAAATCAAACCAAATAATTTTTTTTGAAATTCTCCAAAATTAAACCATTCTAGGAC